TAACCCTGTTACTTTCGCTATTGAGAACGAAGTCTGCGACATTGTTGTTTGATCTGCTGCTCCATATTAACCACTCTTTAGTTATGAGCTGTACTCTGGGAGCTTTCCGCTAGGTCCAATGATGTGGTCATAATGTAGCCACTAGTCCGGCTAGTTGTGGTTTAGATAAGCGCCACTGTTAACATAAGCTATTTTACTGTGAATGTTCAGGGTAGCTCTGAATTGTCATGTTTCACTCATAGCTAGAAATCAATTACGAAGTCATAATTTAATTATGATCATTAAGTTACGAAATTACTACTAAATTCATAGTAAAATATTTTGGCATTGATTCTAGTTGTAAAAATGTTAAATTGCTTGTGAGTTTATATTCTAATAGTCAAGTTTAGGATTCGAAACGAAGCACTGCTGAGGCATGGGAAGAAATGAAGGCGGTTTATTCATAACTTAATGTGCTTTTTCAAGATGCATTCCTACCTGATTGGTACATCAGTACCCGCTATATTGCACTGATTCCTTTAAATAATATTTTAGTTTATTATTACTTTAAAATTCAAAGTGCTTTAAAAAACCTCCGACGTCGGAGTGGAAAGCTAAAAACGAAGTTTTATCATGGTTTCGTAAGTGCATTTTTTGATTTTGTCGCACTGTTCTGGTTATTACAGCAAAAAGAAAAAAAAGTGAAACAGCCCTGCAAACCATGCTTGCAGAGTAACCTGAATAGTAGATAAATCTTAAAGATTTCGAAAATAATCCAATTTTTTTCTTTCCGACTTTTTCTACATTTTTATTGATGCCTCGGTATCGCTTTCTTCTTTGTTTATCTTTCTACTTTGCCTATAGAGGGTTCTTTTGCACCTTCACGCTGTTCTGTCGAGCGGCGAGAGGGTTACATTAATGTTGGTGGGTCGTCTCTCTGCAACAATCTGAACAAACTCCGCTCGATGTGTTGTGAAGTTTTCAATGGAGGGCACATGGCATTTAGTGCTAGCGCAGCAAACTCCCCTATTTTTTCAGTCTTATGACAAAAACTAGTCTTTGGACTTCCCGTACCCTATAATAAATACCATGACACCATGGGTAATTTGACCAATTTTTGTGGCAAAAATTATGAGCGAACAAGTGGAATATTAAAAACAAAAAAATTTAATAATTAACGTATTTTAATAACCCAAACGGGTTATTTTTGAATTTTTGGTATTATTGAAAAAGTTTGAATTTTTGTTTTTTCTGAATAAAAAAATTTCACTTAGCTATACAAAGGGATATAGCCAAGAGCAGCCTTCTGTTCCTTATCTTTATTGAGTTCTTCCCTCCAAATGGTAAATACTTCACTAGTAACTGTATCAAAATCTCAAAAATCGCAATTTAAAATTGTCGAATTGAATAAAATTAATAGTCAAAACACGACTAGAATTTAAAAATAATAATAATAATAGATTGGCGCTTACACATATGTTAGTGTTTGGCCGAGCTTCCCCTCCGATTTGTGGCGTGCGCCTTGATGTTGTCACACAAAGCGGAGGGACCTACAGTTTTACGCCGACTCCGAACGGCGATTGTATTTTTATGAGAAGCTGTTTTTCATGGCAGAAATGCACTCGGAGGTTTGCCATTGCCTGCCGAGGGACGACCGCTGTTAAGAAAAAACCTTTTTTCTGTATTTTTTTGCGATGTTGCTTTGACCAGGGTTTGAACCCAGGCGTTGCGGAGTGGAAGCGCGTACTGCTTACCACTACACCACAGCGGCTAGAATTTAAAAAGCTTTATCAAATTTAATTTTTAATGAAAAAATAATAGTAAAAGGTTGTGTGATATAGATCTTAAAAGCACTTACCCTTTTCTTTATTTTCTAAAGTCTTTTTTTTTAGAAAATTATTTACTTAATTTTTCAACAATTTTATTAAATTTTTTTGTGGAAAAACAACAACCCCCTCTCACCGACAATTGCCGACATCATTATGGACGACCTTCTGGACAACACCATCTCGGAGCTGAAACAACACTTCAACATTGACATCAAGTTTATCAACAAATATGTAGACGATATTTTTGCAATAACAAACCGCAACGACGTGAATACAATTCTAGAGACGCTAAACAAATACCACCCAAAACTTCAGTTTACCATGGAAATGGAAGAAAACGCGAGCATACCTTTCCTTGATGTCCGTATACACAAAAACAACAACAATATTGTTATAAACTGGTACTCGAAACCAACGTCGTCTGGACGCCTGATCAATTATCTCTCCTCCCAACCAAGAAAATATAAAATCAACACCGCGAAAAATCTTATACACAAAATACTGACGATAAGCGACCAAAAATTTCACGAAGCCAACATAGACAAAATACACAGCATTTTGAAAAGCAATAATTATCCCAATCACCTGATACGCGAACTAATAAAACAAGAAACAATGCGAATAGGAAATCAGCAAAATAAAACGCCGACCACAGCAACACAAATACACCAAAGCGTCACTTACATCCCCAAGCTAAGCGAAAACTTTGATCACAGCACATTAAAGGAACAAAACATAACTCTCGCCTACAAAACAAATAACACGTTAGCTAGAATCTACACAAGAACAAAAAGCCCACTAGACATACAGCAACAAAACAACGTTGTTTATGAAATAAAATGTAAGGGCAAAGAGAACGAAAACTGTGGTAAAGTGTACATAGGGACAACAAAACGCACATTAGGTGTTCGCATAGCCGAACATCAAACAGATATAAGGAAACAAAAACACAGCACAGCCCTATCACAGCACATATTAAACAGCGGCCACACAGCTGATTTCACTAACACTAGGATTATTGACAAGGAAAAGAGGGAAATGACGAGATACACTTTGGAAAGCTTAAGAATATTAGAAAAAAGGGAGAATACGATCAACAAAAAAGAAGATACGGACAACATCGCGGCCGCCTACATGTTATGCATATCAAAATAAACAATTTAGTAATGACAAGACTACCATAAAGAGTGGTACTGATTATGTGTATATGTATTAATATTAAGTTTAAAGTAAATGTTTAATATTATTGTGAGTATATGTTCTTTGTATTAGTCCATAATTGTTGTCTTTGTTTTTACAAACACATGTATGCCAACTTTTATTATTCATTTGAACATCTTTTGTTTTTTCGTTGTATTTCTTTGTTGGATTTAATAAACATAGTGGCCCCTGATGATGCTGGAAATTTCAGCGAAACGTTGGGCAACGAAGGTGGAATAAGTGTTTTATTTGCACCATTAAATAATAGATCACACCAGCCTACAAGTGTACCAAAAACAATAATTTACATTTTGGTAGAAGTTACAGCTGGTATTTCGGAAATCACCACATCTCCTCATCAGACTTCTTCATATTGGTTCGATCCAGCGACATCAGCGTCCAAGCCAGTAGTCTACCCAATGGTTGTTCTAAAATAGCTAAAACCAGAACACAAAATCGATTCCAATATTCCACTCGCACCCAATGGCTTTGGCCACCTATTAAGCAATTTTTCTTCTTTTTTAACAAAAAGAAACAACGCCGTTATTTGGTTTGAAGTTTTCTTTATCAAATATGAAGGACACAAGGTTTATTTTTGTAAGTACAAGAAACGATTTTTTGTTACAAACTGATGAAATTAAATACAATTTTTTTTTGTGGATACGTTCGGCAAATTTTTTATGGAAGAAAGTGCAAGCAACCTTCAACAAAAAAATTAAAAAAAAAAATCCAAAGATTCTCCATAAAAAATTTTGAAATTTCGGCAAAGATTTTTTTAACTTCGTTGAATTTTCACGAATTTCCCACATAGTTTACAGTTTTGACTTATTTGGTTTATGGTATTGACTTAATTATATTTTTATAAACCAAAAATAAATAGGATCAAAGAAATGCAATGCAATTTTTTTCAAGTTCATAACTCATAAGCGAGCGTTACTACTTCAAATTAGTACTTCAAACTTTCAAAAAGATTTCGTTTACTTATTTAAGTAAATATGTATACACATGCCACCATTAGCAGAAATTCGGACTAGGCGGTTTACTTTACAACAAAGTGTTCAGTGAGCAAAAAGGAGTTAAGCTTACAAATTCTTATCTCCAGAATTGTATTAGAAAGTTGTTCATTTAGTTAAACCGAGTCGCTTATTCCTTTATGCACTTTCTGACATGAAAAATTAATTATGTAACTTGGCTTTATATGGACAAAGTTTTAATCAGTATTTTGATGATGAGAATATTCCAATTCTGCAATGACATGCTTTTATGAACTTTTAATGATCTCGTCATCCAACGGAGGCTTTCATAAAATTACTGCTCATTGAGTTACCAAACATAATGAATTGGACCTAGCTGTTGGCATGTTTTACCCAGCCAAACAACAATTACCAATAACCAACAATCTTGCACGCGCAAACAAAAAAACAACAAAAACAAACAAAAATATGGATAAACAAGCAGTGCGGAAAACAAACTGAAAAGAAGGACAAACAACCAAGAAACAAACGCGCGTAAGGGGACCCAAAAAGTTACATTGAACTTTGATTGATGAAAAGCAAAAAGTTTATATCGAACTCTGCAAATTTTTCGAGGTCGTCTCTAAAGGGTATTTAGTTTGTTGATTTTTCTCTGGAACTTACATAAATTGAGCGAGTATGTGAATGTTGACAAACTAATAAGGGATATTGTGGGCGTTATTCAGAAGTTTGCAACAAAGTACTAATTGCATATAATTTTTATTCTCGTACTTTGCCATTATTTAACTTGCTTATTTTCAACTGTTTCTCTTTTCAGCACATTAAGTACCTACAGAAAAGGCGCAGCCAACAAAAATAAAACGACTGCAGAAAAATTATCTTAATGCAAATGCGCCAGTGCCAATGCAACAAAACTTTACTCATTAATCGTACAATTTTACAGTCGGCAAAAGTGCCACTCAGATACCAAAAAAAAAAAAAACCTGATGGCACCTGCATGCAACATGAAAAAATTTCAAGCACCTAAACAAAAGCAAAAAATTACTTTGCATTAGAATAAACGAATAGTAAAAATTGAGTGAATAGTTTGGCAAAATGGAAAGTGTTGACAAAATTCCACTTTGCCCAGCATCAAGCGAAACTATGTCCTCAGTGGCAGGCGTCGGCACAATGCTCAATGAGCGTACGCCAACATCCACACACACCACAAAGGCAGCGGCAACAAGTCCACATACACCACCACCACCACCAACACCAGCATTATCGCCACTGGTGACTGCACAAACGCCATTCCAGTCGCCGGTAGCAGCTACAACGCCCCTACAGCCACCGGTGCAAACTTTTGCAACGCCATTACATCGAAAGAAAGGGCGCCTACAGCGCTCCGAACGCTTGCAAACTGTGGACAATAGTTCCACTAATTGCAGCAGCGCCAGCGCCGGTGCCAGTGCCAGTGCCAGCAATGCAACGACAACGCCTACTTCGTTTTCAGCCTGGGAGGCTTTGGTCAAGGAGAGTTTCGGACAAATAGCGTGGCCAATAAAAATCACTTCATGGGAATTGGTCGATGACCGGGTGAAAATCGTGCCGAACAGGTGAGTGTTGTCAAGCCAGTGAGCTGCATATGGCAAGCTACATGCTCTAGCTACAACCTATAAGTATGTAACAAATAACTTTGAACATATAGATTCATAAATATGTATACTAGGGTGGCACAAAATACATCCTCATAACATCCACAAATATTTCTAAGAGTTTGAAGAAACACATTTTTTTTTTAAGATCGCAAATATTCGACAAAGTTTTAGCATTTATCAGCTACAACTGAGCGGTTTTATGAACTTGTATGAAAGCGCGCCAAATTGATCAGATTTTAAGCCAAAAATTTTGTCTAATTTTTGCAATTATAAACCATTCAAATTCAAAAATTTTTTATAAGCCTTTCACTATCGTACTATAAGCAGCATACATATAGAAATTTAGGAACTTTTTTCGGGTAGATATATTGGGGCATATTTTTGTTTTCATATGAATAGAAAATTTGAAATTTTTGTACAGAGAATGATAAGAAAATTTCATGATTTTCGATTCGTACGAAAACAAGAATTCGCCTCAATATCCAATAACACAAAAAAAAAATTTGTATTTACAAAGGAACATAAGCCCTGGGGTAAAATGTCCCATGGGGCTGTTTACATAACATAAATTGGGACTAAATATTCCATGGGTAATATTTATTTGAAAATAGTTAAATGTGAAATGGACTTCTTAGTGCTTGATATTTTGATATTTTATTTATAAAATTTACCAAGGCAATAAAAAAATTAATAGCTCTTTGCATATTGAACAGTTATGTAATAGTTATTTCTTCTTTTATTGACATATGATCCATCCATATATCAATTTTTTTTTACCGTTTTTTGTAGGTATCGTTTTGACCTTTTTCCCAGCTCCACCTTGCGCAATCAGCTGTTCTATAAGTGGAACAACAAATTTATTAGTTGTAATTTTTTGTGGATATTTCCCTGATAAAGAATATTTGCATTTGTACCAGACGTTATAAAAACCTAAAAAAAAAACTTTAAATGTGAACCAATGGGATAATTTATCCCGTTAGTATGGCTTAAGCCATAACATTGGGATATATTATACCGATTAAAAAAAAAACTTTGAAATAAGCGTATATTTGAACATACATACATATCGTCGTTTAAAGTACAAAACCGCGTATCGTCATTCTGCAAAACCGCGTAACTGACTTTGGCTGCCAAAAATTGGATTTGCTCACACAAGCTCTTGGCTCAATCCTTATCCATTCGTCTTGAAATATACTAGCCAGAAATGCGATTGCTTTATAAAAAAAGAGAACCATTTTGAAATACGAGTGTTTGTACGCTCTGGAAAATAATTTCTACAACTTCACATACGCGGTTTTGCATTTTGCTGATACGCGGTTTTGCATTTTGTTGATACGCGGTTTTGCACTTTAAACGACGATATGTATTGTAGCTTAAAATTCACATTCAACAGTTGTTGATGCCAATTAATTGCTATAAAAATGACGCACTCGTTTAACGACCCAGAATAGCTGATTAAGCTGGGACATTATTTTATTCAAATACAGTGCGAATTGCATTTTTGTCGATTTTTTTTTAATTTTCCTTGGGATGCATAATCTCTATGGTAGTGAAAAGGTTAAAATTTTCAAGTTTTCTTACAATATCAAAATTAAATTTTGTATGGGACACCCCCTTATATTGTGCTACGTACTGCAGGGGAAAGCAAATAAACACTGATTATAATGGAGCAGATTGGGGGAGTGGAAAGTGCATTCTATGCAAAAAATAAAGAGTTACCCCATAAAAAGTTTAGATTTTGATATTTTCAGGAACACACTAATGTACAAATACACATAAGTACATAGCTTATAGTATTGCACGTTTGCAAGTTAATGATATTTCCCTCTACAACTCAATGGATTACTCAATAACCGTCGGTAAGTGATTGCACTTTCCATTCTCCCCCAATCCACTTCATTCTAATCAGTGTTCATTTGCTTTGCCCTGCAGTCAGATGCTTTGGTTTGTTGAAGTTCCGCGCTTTGATGAACTCAACGGATGTCTGCAAATTTGCGATAAGCTGCAATCTATTAAATTGTGACATTTACAATCACAAACGCTTAAGCCAACACGCTTCCATGCTTACACAACAAGGAGAAGTCGCAGTGCTGCAGGTCATGTAAGGGTTTTATTTAACTATGTCAGCGCGCACTTAATCACTGCGGATGTCCGAAGCGCCGTAGAGTGTTACTAGTAGATATGTACATATGTATATGTAGATCGATACATGTAGTACATACATACACAATGTGTTACAAAGCAATCCGTTGACAATATGCTGGCAAACAAGCCGGAACACATACATATCTACACAACATACAAATATATGCATGGAAATACATATATATGTATGTGCATACCCATTATTGAATGAGCGACGCCATAGAGCTTAATAACAAGTACTAAATGGGAGCTTAGTAGCGCTAAGTATAATGAATGAGGTGTTGACTGCTGTCGCTCATACGACATGTAGCACCAATATTGTTGAACAGCTTGTCAATAGTAAGGAGATTGTGCCTTTATACTTTGCATGAAGGTACACTCATATTGTACATACTATTGTATGGGTGTGGTATACCTATGCGGGCCATTGGTTTACTTGCTTTTACAGTTGACTGATGTCTAGCATATTGTGGGATTACCATACAGGTTGTATGTTGCTGTAAGATGAAAGCAAAGTTATTGGAATAAGTCAAGCAAAAGCAGAATTCGGTTACTTTGTACGAACAATTCGAACTTTATGTTAGCCTACTTCTACAATACTCCTAATTCAACGTGTTTTCTTAACTCACTGAGCACATACATGGTTTTATATTAGGGTTGTCCAAAATGCACGTGAAAAAGTAAATTCGGAATTTTTATGCTCGGATTATTCTATATCGAAAAAATATGTCCCTATGTTTTATTTCGAAATCAAAAAATATTTAGGTTTCGCTCAAAGCGCTCAAAATTTTCCGTGTAGTTTATATGGGGAAAAAAAACTTTTTTAGAAATGGTCTAGAACTCTTGAAAATCTATATTTTTCGATCGGAAAACTCTTTTTCATTCAGAATATTCCCAGTAATAATAATCAATTATTTATTTAATCCTGTATCATTGTGCTTATTCTTAATTTCGAGTTCAAAAATACATAAAAAGTTGCTCCATAAAGGAGTTTGATTATTCTCCTGGTTCTTTCAGAGTAAAGAGAATTTATATAGGTGATTTCATGCATTTTCATTTACTTTATAGTTTATACACACCTTACAGTACCATGCGGTGAAACGTGATTGATATACAAATTTTCTACCAAAACCAATTTCCGCGTCCGCCTGTATTCCTCTCACTGATCTTCCATATATTCAACGCTCCAAACTAGAAAATCCACATATGTCTGCGACAAGCGTTGTAATTGTAATCCGGTTTTACTGAAACACGCCTGCATAGTGTAGAAGTACGTACTGCGAATTTCAAAAAAAATGGGAGGAACTGCACTACTTTTTGAAGTGAATTAAATGAAATCTAGATACTGACTAACGAATAGTTAGGACCTACCCTTTATTATAGCGAATTAAGCACAGAGGACATAATAGCCGGTATTCCAAGGCTTGTTGCCAGCACTTCAAAACTGCCAGAACACTATTTACCTTTCTATGTTGATCCCCACGTATGGAGCCGGGTTTATTATGCGGCCACAAATACTAAAAAAAATAAAAGTGTTCTTTGCTAGGGTTGCTTGTTCGCCCACCGAAACCACAAGAGTTTCATTGAAAAATTAGCAATAGGGTACTTCACCGTCTCACTCTTTTTCTGCGCTATCGTGTCTTACTTCGTATTTCTTTAGTCCTAAGGAAAACCGTCCATATATTCTATCGCTGCGTTTATCTGAGCATTGACTTTAATGGCCATTTATCGCCCTTCTCGCCATCATTCTGGCATTGCGCTATTGGCCACTTATTGATCCGCCGTTTCTAGCAAGATAATTTTGTGTAACTTGATAGTTTTGGTAGTACTGGAATATATTGAAAGCAACTTGAGTGAAACTTTATTATTTTTATTTGATTTTTAATATCAAAACTGATAGAAGTAAATAAATCAAGCTTTTTCAATTTTTCCTAATAAACAATCGTGGTACAAAGCTCAATA